TTTGCAAGTATACGAATGACTCAAATTTATGTATCATGAAAGGAATATTACCAATTTGTCTGATCCACACACTCTACAAAAAACAATAATTATTATCAATACTAAAATATTCAACGTCAATATTGTTGCCATCACTATCATCACCTCATTTATCATTAGTACGATACATAAGCCGACGAAATGAACTGTCGAAGAAATAATTTTCGACGAAATGAACTTTCGATGAAATGAACTTTCGACGAAGTGATTGTCGACGAAATAATTTTCGACAAAGTAAACGGGACCGATAACATCAATGTCATATAGAGAATTCTACTAAATTCATTTGATCTTTTGCAATTGACATTTTGTTGTTAGTGATTAATTAATTCATTAAGGGGATACAAAAATGATAAACATGATTTTTAGTTCAACTAGAATAGCTCATAAAAAACAACAACTACCCTCTAATAACACTTACTTATGTATAGTATCATCAAGTTCTTTAATTGTTTTTTATTTAATAAAATAAACCATCATTTTATCGATTTAGTATAAATTTTCTAAAATAGCAAAATTTTCTGTGGTGAACAAAGGAAATTCAAATAATTTTAACTTAGACACTGGGTATGATTTGATTACAAATGGAAAATTTCATGTTTCTATATAGAGAAGAAATAAGTATGGATTATTGAGAAAGTTCTATAAAAAAATAAAATAAAAGTTTTTTTTTTTTTTTTTGGTGTCAATTTTAAATAGTACATAGTTTTTAATTGAAAATAGTTAAACGACATTAAATTAAAATAACCTTTTGATTAATAAATGTATTGGCATACAAAAACGTGTTTTTAGTCATTAAATTAATGTAATAACTTTTTGTTAAATTTTCTGATGATTCAGCTTGTCGAATTAATTCACTTAACAAACGACTTGTATAAAATGGTTCAGGATGATGTTTATGGTTCTTTTTATCCAACTGAAACTTTTCTGATTTGATGATTTGTCTTCACATGTAGAATTTCTTAAATAATTGTCATTATATTAATATATAATATATGCTTTTTTGGTAAATTAACAAGTAACGATATCATTTTAAACATGACCTGATCAAGACAAAACTTGAAAATCAACAACAATAACTTGATTTTTTTGCATTGGCTGTTCAAATACTCTTGTATGGAAAGTTTTCATTCTACTTTTACTGTGTTAAATTTAAATTGGTTTCAAAGTTATTAATAAAAACATTCCACGTGTGATCTCACGTTTATAAACTATTAATTGCCCAGACTAAGCTTTTTAATTCTTAGCATTCCTAATTTGGAGGTTTGGTGACGTCTTTAATAAACAAGCAATCACATGCTCATGAACTGATTGTCTAAAAAAAGAAAAGATCTATAGAATAATTTTGTTTAATATGAGGAAACCAAATATTATGATTTTGAAAAAAATATCTTGAAAATAATTAAAAATCAAGCTATGCAAGAAGAAAATTACTCTAAACTATCTGAAACAATTCAAGAACCATTTACAGAGCATATTGGAAATGAAGAAGCAAAAGTAGAAGAAACATATCAACCTTCAAATTTTTCCGTTCAATTTTCGAATGTTACTAATGTAACAAAAGTAGGTCTAGATTTTGCAAGTGTTGTTTCCAAAGTTACATTTGATACAATGAAGCTTACAACTCAAACTGGGCTAGGAATTACCAAGGTGGTGACTGGTACTGTATCAGATAGTTTAATCTCAATAAATAATGCTACAATGAATGCCATTAATAACAATAACGGAGACATTGATAATAATGGAAATAATGATAATACTGGGTAAGAAAAGTTTTTTATAATTATGATAATGTTGGGGATAATGACAGCCTTTAAAAGGAGATAAATATATATGTCTGTATGTGTATATTATTTGATTTCTTGTAAAAAAAATTTTTTTTTTGTCAGATACTCATTTATTCCAATGATAATCGATACATCAACAAATATATTACACAAAACATTGTCAATTGCTGAGAATATTGCTTTGTTTGGGATAGATTTGACATCGGATACTATTCAATATAGCTTGGATACAACAACTGATGGTTTATCAGTTGTTGAAAGCTTGTTTGGTATATCTGATTCAGCTAAAGCACTTGAAGAATTTGTAACACTTGTTAAACGTGAATGGAGATTTGATGATATTGATGAAAACAGTTGTGATGATACTATTCACAATAGCGATAGATCTGTAAATAATATCGATGGCGGTGATAGCAGTAATAATTTGGATACTACTAATGATGGTAACAATAATAATGTTACAAAATTTAGAACATTACGTATTATGAAGGCACTAATTGTATGGACATTTATACAACACATTACCAGAAAAAGATGGGCGAATAAAATCAATGGTAGTTGCGAGAAAATCAAGCATGTAGATTTATGTAATATTGATAAAGATTGGAGAAAATTGAATCTTTATGAAAAATTATATGAAGTGGAATGGATACATTTGGAGAACGAGGATGATATTGAAATGACTATAATAAATAATAATTATGATAATGATGATTGTGATTTTGATGATTGTGATGTTGATGTTGATGATGGTGGTGGTGATGGCAATAGTGATCGGTATAGTTGTAATAATAGTAGTAATAGTAGTAATAGTAGTAATAGTAGTAATAGTAGTAATAGTAGTAGTAATAATAGCAATAGTACTGATAATTGTGGCATCAACAGCAACAGCATCAATGACGATGAGATTATGGTGGGTGAAATTGCCACTCCTGACAATGGAATGTTGGATCAAGAAAATGAAGATTTAAATAATCTATTTATTGAGACAGCCAAAAAATACAATAATCCCTACTTGGAAGAAAAATCTAGTCAAACAATTGATGAAAAATTATTTACACTTGCACATAATTTGAAAAGATACTCTAAATTTTCATCATCGGCTTACGATTTCAAAAACACACTTCTTTCAAAACTACCATTCAATCGTAATAAAAGAGATCATGGCAATTGGTACAAATTCTCATTTGCCAGTCAAACAAAACTACCATTGAATTCAATAATTGATTCTTCACATCATAATATCCATTATAATAAAAATGATGATGGAGGATATCATCCAACCTATTTTATAATTCGTGACAGAACAACCTCATCAATCATTTTAGCATTCCGAGGCACAATGTCAGTAAATGATCTGATCATTGATCTTACGTGTGATTATGAAGATTTCCAATTACCTCATGACAATAAAACATATAAAGTGCATAAAGGAATTTATAAAGTGGCAAAGACATTGGCAACACCTAAAAAATCTAAAGTTTTTGAAACTATTAAAAAAGAATTAAGAAATAATGAAGGTTATGGACTTGTATTAGTTGGACATTCACTTGGTGCTGGTAAATTATCATTTTATTGTTATTATATAATTAACAATCATCATCATCATCATTAACATTTTTTATTTAATGATAAAAGGAATCGCAAGCATATTAGCACTTTTATTTGCATCACCTAAAACATGTAAAACAACTAAATCAAGTGGTCTCCCTGTTGGACGACGTGTTCATGCTTATGCATTTGCCTCTCCTTGTGTGATGTCTGGTGATTTATCCAAACTGGCAATTCCACTAGTAACGTCAGTAGCATATAGAACTGATGTCATAACTAGATTAAGTGTTGGTCATATAAAGGATCTACGTGATATGATTAAATTTTTGTGTAAAAAAAATAACAACATTGATGGTGATAATGAAGAATTTGTAAGTGTGATTATTAAAAAAATACTTAAATATCAATCATCGAGATTCACTTCCAACAGTTCTAAAGAAGAATGTGAAGACTTTTTCTGGGAAACAAGTCAAAAAATTTATGAGCATATGAATAATACAAAATTGTATCCAGGAGGTCAAGTTTTTTGGATTATTGATAATAATAACAATGATGATAGCGGTGGTGACAATGAATGTAGAAGAGAGGAAAATATTAATGTTAATCAATTACTTAAAGTTAACGATGTTGAAAAGGCCTTTAATGAAATTAGATTTTCACCAAATATGATTATTGATCATTTACCAAGTGTATATGGTAAGTTGGTGATGATTATTATTATTACTATCATTATTATCATTATTATCATTAATTTTTTAATTAATTAATTTTTTTTCTAAACAGAACTTGTCATAATGAAATTGTAAATTATTATTTATTTATATCACAATGGAAGATAATTATGCTTAGCATATAAACGTTACACTAATATTATATTTAATAAAGATAAAACAATAATAGCATTTTGTATTGTGAACATTATTCAACATTAGTTGTATACTCATTAAAAAATAATATCATCAAGTATACGAATATATCAGGTTTTTTTTAAATGCATTGATCGAATGATAATTGTTTAATAAGTAAATCATATTGATATTAATATATATACAAAGAATGATAATGGCAGAATCTATATAAAAAAACATATATTATTTTTTATATATAGATTTATTTATAATAAATAATAAATTGTTATAAACTACAAACTAGGGAATTAAATCTCATTTCAAAGATATGTAGTATAAATATTAATAAGTTAAAATTAGGCACTTGTGACTTTAAGTAATAAATATTATTGCATTTAACACAGATATTTATATGTTTATGGAAGTTAAAATAGGTCTTCATGACTTTAACAGTCATTTGCAAATTTTAACTAGGGAATTCGCTAACTTTATTAGAAATTCGCCAGGGATTTGAGCTTCGTTAATAATATAAGTCTTTATTTTTTAATACTAACTTTTAGTTTTTTTACATACAGTTAAAACTATAGTTCTTAGCAATACTATGATTTTATAAAGGAATAATAAAAGATGTGTCACGTTGTATTTGAATATGTCACGGGAATTTTTTATGGACAATTTTCATATTCTACCCTTAAAATGTCAGATAGATATAGGTAAAAGATTTATCATTTCTAAAATTTTATTTTAATCTGTTGTAATTATAAATGATATAATATTTTTTAAATTATTTAAACTAGTTTTTCATTAACAACTTTTTCACCTTCGGGCAAGCTTGTTCAAATCGAGTATGCATTGAATGCGGTTGCTCAAGGTGTAACAAGCATTGGTATTAAAGGTGTGTAAAAATATGACTTTCCTTTTTTGAGCAAAATAATCTTTTTTATCTTATTAAAGAAATTTACTAAATATACTATGCATAATAAATAATATTAGCTACAAATGGTGTTGTTGTTGCTACTGAGAAAAAAACAGCTTCACCATTGATTGATGATTCATCACTTGAAAAAGTTGCAAATGTTTGTCCAAATATTGGTATTGTTTATTCTGGAATGGGACCAGACTTTAGAGTATTATTGACAAAGGCAAGAAAGGCAGCTCAAAAATATAAAAGAATATATAATGAGTATCCACCAACAGGAATATTGGTTAAAGAAGTTGCTGGTGTAATGCAAGAATTTACTCAAAGTGGGTATGTAAAAAAAAATTTAAAGATTTTAAATATTATTATTTTGTAATAAATTGAATTTATGTTTATATTAATATGAAAATATATTTAAAGTGGTGTACGTCCATTTGGTGTATCTCTTCTTATTGTGGGTTATGAAGCATAATGGACACTCATTTTGTGCAACAGTCATTTGTATAATAGGCAGGCGGTTACACAGAGCGCGTTGCTTCTGAAACTTCACTAGAATATAGCTGTAGCCTCTCTAAGTCCAGATCATCAGCAAGATCAAAATTATCTCACACTTTTATAATCAAACTTTTGCAAGAACTTTCACCATAACATATGTTATGTTGATCGTTTTTTTGTGATCTGCAACAGTGTCCACTATGCTGGGTTATGATGAAACTGGTCCAGAATTATATCAAGTAGATCCTTCAGGATCATACTGGGCATGGAAAGCATCTGCTATTGGAAAAAATATGGTTAATGCAAAAACTTTCTTGGAAAAACGGTATTAAATGGTTTTTATGAATTATAAACATATATTTATTTGCATATGGGGCATGCTGCAACAAAACCAGACAAAGTGAACATTGGTGTTACCAAAGATTTCAGGGATCAAAATTTAGTTAAAATCTCCCATTTGTTATCTTCTTAATATTAAGTGATATATAGAATTACTCCTATATAAAAATAGTTAATATGAAGTTAATTTACATTAGATCTACTATGGAACCCAAGAATTATAGCACCATTAGAAGTATTTTGAAGAAGGAACAAGGTGAAAAAATTGCTCCTTACATTTTTAAATTAGCAGACACCAAATCTTTGCAAACATATTTAGACAAAGA